CAAGAACTGGAGCAGCTCAGTGCTGTGAAAAGCCCACCACAGCTGCTTCCTAGGAGGTGGCTGCAGAGGCGGAACTGCCTCTCTCTCTCCCCAAGGCAGTTCCAAGAATTTGCCATGCCAGACATGCAGCCCCTACCGCCCATCAGGGCTGGAGCCTCTGTTCACAACCCGTTTCAGGTATCAAAGAACAAGGTGTAAAATCTTGGGGCCAGAAAGGGCACAGAACTCACGTTGCCTCTCACGCTGCCTGGCTATCATGTATCCCCGGACGCTGAAGTCCAGCCGCTGCAGCACGGGCTCCAGCCGCAGGTACACGCGCTGCCCCAGCCTGTGGTACACGGCCAGGGGCCACAGCAGGACCAAGAGCACTGCAGTGAGCAGGAATGTGGGTTAGAAGGTTGTTCAGGATGCTGCTTGGCAAATATCCTGCCCGTTTCGTGATGCAGCACAACACACAGCACGGCAGATCTGAGCACTGAGGACAGCTAGAACAGGTGCCATCACCTCTGCCAATTTAACAAAATCAAGAGGCCAACGTTTTAGTGCTCAACTCTGTAGTTAGTAAGCACTCAGACATGTTCTCTCCAGACCAGACTTCAGGTCCTGGTCAAGAACCAGCAAATTCCTGGCAGAATGTATTGTTTCAAATTTTAAAGCCATTCACACAAGCTTTTCTTTGAGATCAATTCCTCAGACATTCAGCACCCACTCATCTCTTTTCACATGTATTGGCACAGAGATTTACTTACACAGTAAGTATGAGAGCAAGAGCCCAGGGATATACCGGCCCAGGACAGCCAGGAAAGTGAACACTCCACACACTAAAAGGCAAAACTGAAGACATGAGAGACAGTGAGTTTCCAGAGTTAAGCAGTAGGTTCACTCACTTCTGAGTATCTCAGACTCTGCAAATTCTGGATCAAGCCACTGTTCCAAAGACAGTGAAGCCTTCACAGTGTCCAACCACCTGCTCCAGCCTGGGCACAGACACAGGGGTATCTCTCCTCAGAGCTACAGGCAGATGAGGCGTCCTGCCTCAGGGCAAGAGGAACTTTCCAAAAAACAGCAAGGAAGAGGCTAAACTAGAGAGCTCTTCAAGGTGAAGAGGACAAGGACAGTATCACTGTGCTACAGGTTTCTCTTTCCATAAACTCGAAAAAAGAAGAAAGAAAAAGCTTGACACACTTTCCCAAGCTGTTAAAACCCAGTGAGGAGACAAGTTTGACAGACACTTGAAAAGCCAGAAACCTACAGAAGGAGCAGCAACGCTTTCACTTCAGTGGTGCAATCCACACACTGACATTCACTTTCTCCTCCCTCCTCCACAACCCGATTATTCAGCCTGTGCTTTCTATTCTTCCCCACCACCTAATAGGCAGTTTTGTGGGAGACCTCCTGTGGCAACCTCCCATCCAGGAACGTGTTCAGCCAGTGCTGGGTGCCAGCATAGGAGGAACCTCATGGTCAGCAGAGGCTCCACACCAAACAGATTATTTCTGAAGACTGTACATTCTCACCTTGCCAGGACTTTGCCTCTTGAAAACGAAGAGATTACTTAAGAAGTTGGTCCCAGTCACCCATCCTTCAGCCAAATGATGACAGAGCTCTGGCACTCCGAGCAGCCGAGGGTGGACGTATCCCCAGCTGCAGTGAAGGCAAATTTGGGAACAGATATTGCTGCATCAGTGTCAGGGTTGAAGACCCTTGTTACAAATACTTGTCTCAATGCTTGCTTCTGTTCCCGCCCAGCACGGAGCTCTAGAAATGAGGGTCACTCGCCCTCCAAGCAGCGCCCTGCCCAAAGCAGATCATCTACAGCCCTTCTAGCAGCATCCCAGTGCTCTCACAGCAGCTGAGGAGCAGGAATTTCAGCCAATGGCCTGAACCAGTTTCCATGCTGCTGGAGGGAGTGCGCAGTGCAGAGGCAAATCAAGTGAATCCATTTACTTTTTCTGTGTTTATCTGGTCAGCTGCAGCCTCCAAGTGTTCAGCATGAGGTCTAGAAGCAGCCTTGCACCTCACTTCATATACTCAAGTTACTCTGGAGGCCTTGAATTGGTCAGTTTTGTTAGTGCTGCTTAACTGCTAGTCATAAGTACCTGAAGGTTAGAAAGAGCAATTCCTTTTGTGCTTGGGCCTCTTACAAAATATGAATAGAGACAATTGTCCTTTGGCATCAGCTCAGGTGATTTAGTCAGGAACTGACATCCAGCACAGCCTGGCAGTGGCAGCAGGAAGGTGTGCCCAGAGAGGCAGGTGTGAGCAGTGAGGCAACACCTCAGCATTTCTCAACCCATTATTAATGCCGCAGTCAGATCATAACTATGCAGAAACAACTGCTGGAACAAGCCTGTTAAATATTCCCCATCAAGTCTCAGAAGACTTCATTAATTCCCACAGAAATGCTGTTTTCCTGCTACTGGAGATCCATACAAGAGGAATTGCTCCTAAAGCAGCACCTCTAACTTCAGGGCGCAGGGAACCAAGCAAGCGTATCTGGAGGCCGGTATGAAGGCAAAGCATAATAAATGGTTTGGGCAAGTCAAAAACTTCTCAAGACCACCTGACTGCATCTGGGTCTCCATCTGCCTTCCATTGAGCAGCTCCCAGCTCCCTCCTCCCTTCTCCCCCTCCTCCTCACCCGAAGGAGCCAACATCCCAAGCATGTGCAGGTAACAACACAGTATCACAGCAAAGTATCACAGCAGAGGAGTCAATTAGTTTCCTACCTCTCATTGTCTAATTCATCAGGTCTTGCCACTAAAATATTAAGAACAGACACTACATTAGTTGCAAGGAATTTGCCATGGGAATGTTTAGCTCTTGGGATTTAAGTAAAGCTTTAATGAGCTGGGGAACACCTGGAAAAGACATTAACTGTAATTACAGGATGGAGACGCATCACTCCATAATAAATCTTGAGTGTGTACGTGTGACAGTACAGGACTGCAAGTCTCCCTGTTGCTCCTCGGTGTTTGTTGGACACTAGAGGCTGCCCACTTCCCTCTCCCCCACTCCCTGCACACACCAGCTGGGGAGGAGGAACAGCCTGCAGACTGGAGGAATCAGGCATTTAAATCTTTTAATACTTTCCCACCCAGGCTGAGACTTGAAAGGGATGTACCAGTCAACCTGAGAGATCAAATCAGAGGGATGAGGGAGCTGGACAGACTCTGTCGTAAGAACAAGCCTGAGCCAGGCTTTGAAACCGAGGAAAGCTTTAATGTCTTCCCAGGAACTACAGAGAACACGGACTGAAGCAGAAAGCTGGGAGCTGAACTTGCTGGTTAGTCAGGGAACCAGCCCTGGGAACATGCAGACCCTCACTCACACTGCTCCAAACTAACCTGTCCATGCAAAGCCAAGGGACCCCGAGCTGCTTGGAATGAGGGTGTTCATCAGTGTATTAATGTCACAAAGGAGGGATACAACTGCTTTGGTTACTGAAAGCTGAAAACTAACTTCATTACAGCCGTTCAGATGCCTCTTCTCCCAAATAAATCTCTGATCAACAGCAAGGCTGGGACTTGTCTTCATCCTAAACTGGATTATTATGGATTCTGAGGAGGAATCCAGACGAGTTCCACATATGCTTCAATTTCTTATTCTAGTACTGAATGCTCAGAAAGTGAATCACTGTCTCAAACCTGCACTAGGTCACGTACATCCTGTGGTTCAGGATTACAAGACAAATACCAGTGTCACAAGCACAAAAAGAACTTGTGTTTACACAGCTTAGAGTATTCCAGCTCCAGAAAGAGCATGTCTGCAGTACTCTTGTTGCAGTGCTTCTGCTTTGCTTAAAGCAAAAGGCCCAAGTTTTAACAATGTAACTGCAGGCAGTGCAGAGCCTGTACTTGTGGGGCTGAAAATGGGGCTTGATTTGCTGCTATGAGCTCAAAATACAACTTACCACCAATTTCTGGCCAGATCTTGTGCTTCCATTGGTCTAGACACACTACTACTATGAGGGTAAGTGCAACCAGGAACAGCAAACGAAGGGAAGTCAGAGCAAAGAACCTGTGGGGAAGAAACCAATGAGTCAGTACTAACCAGATCTTTGTGAGACACAAAGGGGTAACACAAACCAACCTAAAACCAGTCACTCAGGGGGAAAACTCAGCACCTGCTACTCAGTCACCACGCAGCTTGCCCTGGGGGCAGCTGCCAGGTGATCCTGGTCTGCTCGTGTCAATTGTCCCGGGACAGCCCTGCTGTACAGCTCCTGTCCCAGGCAAGCTGCCCGCCCTCCCTCCACTGCCACGGAGCAGGCTGAGCTTTCCCGGCAAGTTTGATGCTCTCAGGTACAAGGAGAGCACGCGGACGGGGCTGCAGCAGACCCAGCGGTCCCAGGTCCCTCCTGTCCGGAACGGGACACGGACCAAATCCGCAGCCCCTTAGAGAAGGTTCCTCCCCGGGGGCAGCTCCCCCAAGTCCCCCGACCCCCGCAGCCCCGGCGATCGGGGCTCGGCGGAGCGCGCCTCCTGAAGCGGGGCGGCGGTGCCGCCCACCCTGCGCGGCCCGGTCCCGGTCCCGGTCCCAGTCCCAGTCCCAGCCCCGCCGCTCACCAGAACAGGCCGTGCACCGCCACCCAGCACAGCGCGCTGCGGCCCGGCCGCTCCCACACCAGCGCGGCCTGCAAGGCGCCCAGCAGTGGCTCGTAGGGCCCGAGGCGGCAGCGCAGTGCCGCGCTCAGCGCCTGCACCCGCCGTTGTCGCTCCCCGGGCCCGGGCCCGGGCCCCGCCGCCGCTGCCGCCGCCGCCATCGCTCCCTCACGGCGTCAACATCCGCCCGCCCGCCGCGCGCGCGCTCCCGCCGCAGGCATGGCGGCCCCCTGCCACCAACTGCAGCTCCATCCTGTGCGCTGCCATCTTGGCGCAGGCGCAGCCTGCACCTCCTGCCGGGACGCACGCGCGTCGCCAGGGCGCCGCCACGGGCGGAGGTGCGCGAAGCTGCCCCGGAAGTGAGCAGTGCGCACGCGCGCTGCCATTGGCGCCGGCGGGAGACGCGGTGGTACCGGAGGCGGGTGGGGCGCAGAGCAGAGCAGAGCGGAGCCTCGGCTGCGATGCCGCGGGAGATCATCACCCTGCAGCTGGGCCAGTGCGGCAACCAGAGTGAGCGCGCCACTGCTGTGGCGGGCCCGGGGGAGCACGCACCGGGCGGGGTCGGGATGCTGGGGTGGGGGGGCAGTTAGCAGGGCCTGTCTGGACGGGGCGGGGCTTCAAGCGAATGGGGCGGGGCCTGCGGACCGGGGCGTTACGGGCCCTGCCCCGGCCCCGGTCCCGGTCCAGGTCCCGATCCCCATCCCGCTGCCCGGCACGTCTGATCGCGCCTCCCCGCAGTCGGGTTCGAGTTCTGGAAGCAGCTCTGCGCCGAGCACGGCATCAGCCCCGAGGGCATCGTGGAAGAGTTCGCCACCGAGGGCACCGACCGCAAGGATGTCTTCTTTTACCAGGTACCGGCGGCCCCAGGCCGCGCAGCGGGCACACCGCGCGAAGTGTGCTGCCCTGGTCTCCACGGGTCTCCGTGCCCGAGCAGGTGCAGCTGGGCTGTCTGTGCCCATGCAGCCCGCTCCACATCCCCTGCGGGCACAGGGACGGCTGGGCGGGCGCTGACCGTGCAGGTGGGAGCGGCGGCTCAGCCCAGGCTCCTGTTTATAGCTAGCTCCGGTCTCCCGCCTGCGCTCCCGGTCTGTTAGTGGAGCGCTGTGGAGGCGGAGCAGAGGCACGAGGCTGTGGCTGCCATAGATAGTGTCTTATGTAAGCACGAAAGTCCCCCCCTTCCTGCACTGGGAGTGTTCTGGGGCACACAGACGCTGCATTGAGGATAGGCTGCACAGGAGCAGCCTCTCTCTTTCCTTTCTCATCCTTCTCACCAGGCCCGTGTGGGCTCATCTGCAGTCAGGGGGTAGCTCTTGCTCTGGCAGTGGAAGTGGCACGGAGCTGCAGCAGCATCAAGATCCTCTTGCTCCCGTTGTAGGCAGATGATGAGCACTACATCCCCCGGGCTGTGCTGTTGGACCTGGAGCCCCGCGTCATCCACTCCATCCTCAACTCCCCTTACGCCAACCTTTACAACCCAGAAAACATCTACCTGTCTGAGCATGGAGGAGGAGCTGGGAACAACTGGGCCAGTGGCTTCTCACAGGTACCAGCTCTAGTGAGAGATAGAGGTGACTGGGTGAAACACAGGGCAGCTCTTCAGCCCTGGGAATTTGTCCTGGCTCCCTCATGTCAGCTCAGTCCCAGTTTCTGAAGAACACCTCCTTACTGGCAGGGACTGATGTCCCTGGGACTGTGTCCCTGCACCCTGTGGCAGCCTGGGCACAGGACGTTACTGCCACTCTGACTCAACTTCACACCGAGCTTGAGCAGCTCTTCTCCATATTCTGTGACAAAGGAACAAAACCAGTCCTGATCTCTCTTGCAGGGAGAAAAGATCCATGAAGATATTTTTGACATAATAGACAGAGAGGCTGATGGGAGTGACAGTTTGGAAGTAAGTGAACAAGGTATTTGGGTCCGGTGGCCCTGCCTGGTGTTTTCCCAGCTAGGTTGCTCTTTGTAAGACTGAGCTCAGCACTCCAGTGGGCAAGCACTCCAGTGGGCACAGACTTGCTCAGTGAGTTTCTGGGACTGAGCACAGACCATGTAGAGAGGGGATCTAGGGACAGGAGGTCTGTCCATCCCCACTCCACCTGCCAGCCTGTCCCAGAAGTTCTTTCATTGTTTGGTTGTGGGGCATTTTTCTTTACACTGTCCGTGTGAACGCGTACCCTGTGTGCAGACAGGTGTTCATGTCAGGCTGTGACATGGCAGCAGGGGGAGGGAGAACATCGCCAAGACAAGCTAGCAGGAGATTCAAGTGCCTGTTGTGGGAGCTGAGCAGGTGGGAGCTGCCCTGGGGTCAGGCAGTGGGAGCTTGGCCTCAGTCATTCTAGAAGGAGGGAGGGGTGTGAAGGACCCAGGAAAGGGCTGAGAATGTGCAGTTCCATTTCCTGTGACAGACTGGACTTTGGAGGTGACATTGGAGCTATTCCAATTCTGTTCTGGGTGGGAGGAATCCTGAAGGCTCCCAGACAGCTGCTGCACTTTGAGGGGTGTGCAGAGATGTAGATCCCACTGTGTGGTCAGGAGTGGCCTGAGGAGCTGTGGCTGCTGCTGGGGTCTGGAGAGCTGGGGTCAATCTCTGCTGCATCCATGCTCCCAGCTGCCATAGGAGCTCTGGCCCTGTCTGGCAGGTCTCTGCTGGAGATAGTGGAGGTGACACATTGTCTGCCTGTTCTGGGGCTGAGCTTCACCTTCAGCACTTGCCTTCTGCTTCCTCCCAGGGGTTTGTGCTTTGCCACTCCATCGCTGGTGGAACAGGCTCTGGGCTGGGCTCGTACCTCCTGGAGAGACTGAATGACAGGTGAGCACAGCCCTGTCCCCTTCCCACACCGCAGTGCCTGGCCCAGCCTGGGCAGCCTGCCTGGAGCTGGAGCTGGAGAGCGCTGACTCAGAGCCACCACCCCCACCCAAACACTGCCTTGTGCAATCCCTGGCATGCTGCCTGCAGAAGGCTGGCTCCTGATACGCCTGGGGACTTCAGAGGCTCTGAAACTGGACTCGTTCTGTCCAAGCCCTGTCTTCCCTCAGCCGTTCTTATCAGGCAGCTGCCTGCGGACACCCTGACGGTGCAGGGGAGGGTGGGAGGCTCTGACTGAAGGCTGTGAGCTGCCATTCTGGCCTGTTTCAGCTTGCATCCTCTTGGAAATACTTGTGAGCAGCTGCTTAATCAGCCTGTGGATGGCTCAGCCTCCCTGTAGCTCCTCTGGCAGCCTGCTCCTGTGCTGCTGGGGTAGGCATTGCTGGGACACATTCTCTCCCTCCCTAGGAGCCACTCTGGCTACAGCTTTGGTGACTCACCCTGTCTTGAGCCCTGGAGACTGCTAAGGCAGCTTACGGGAGGGGAGAGTGCAGCTTGATGGTGTTAACTCTTAAGATGCTGTACTTCTCACTAGGTATCCCAAGAAGCTGGTGGAGACCTACTCAGTGTTCCCCAACCAGGATGAGATGAGCGATGTTGTGGTCCAGCCATATAACTCTCTGCTGACACTGAAGAGGCTGACCCAGAATGCTGACTGTGTGGTAAGAGGCCCGTGGTGCAGCCAGCCCTGAGGAGACAGCCCTGTCCCCACAGCTCAGAACTGCAGCCCATCCTGGGGCCAGCACCATGTGCCTGCAAGCCCCAGGTGCAGCAGTGAGTGCACCCCGAACAAAAGGGCCAAGCAGATGTGGCCCCAGGGACCCTCACTGGTGCTAACCCCTGCAGAGCTGCCTGGCAGAAATGCCTTGGATCCAGCAGATCTTCCCAAGGCAGTGAGGACTGGCTGTGCTTCCTCTGTGTAGCTGAGCTGCAGCCCCTGCCTGAATGCAACACCTGTGTCATTTGCAGCACCCACAACATCCCCAGCCAGGCAGCACCTTCAGCCTGCACCAGGCTTGGTCAGGTCTCGTTCCCTGCAGCCGGTCCCAGCATGAGGCAGTGGAGGAGCAGTTGCACTGGAGCTGCTGGAACTGACACTGCTGTGCAGTGCTGGCCCAGGGGCAGAGCTCTTTGGGAGAGCATTGGGGAGCACAGCCAGGCGGGAGGGAAGAGGTTCCATTGACGGTGTCAGTTACACGCCACAGATGAGTCAGCTTGTGGTTTCAAGTGTCTGCCACTTGTGCAAAGGGCTCCACTCAGGGCCTGTGCTGGACCACCAGTGTCCTGGGACACATGGCCAGGACTGCCTTTCCTTAGCTGCCTCAGGGGCCGTTCACAGAGCCAAGTTTCTCTTGCAGGTGGTTCTGGACAACACAGCCTTGAATCGGATCGCGACAGACCGGCTGCACATTCAGAACCCGTCATTCTCGCAGATCAACCAGCTGGTGAGGACTTTTCCTTCAGGAGAAGCCAGCATGGGGTTTTCCTGCTGTGTTTAGTTGAGTCTGAACCTGCTTTATGAACTGGGCTCAGGGGTGGGCACCCTGGAGCTGTGAGCGAGGGTCCTGTGCCCTTCCAGGCGCCCCGGCTTCCCCTGGCATGTCTGTGTGAGGCAGGTTTTGACATGCTCTGTGACCCTCTGCTGACCCTGTGCTCTCCCCTAGGTGTCCACCATCATGTCTGCCAGCACCACCACACTCAGGTATCCCGGATACATGAACAATGACCTCATCGGGCTGATCGCCTCGCTGATCCCCACGCCCCGGCTGCACTTCCTTATGACGGGCTACACGCCACTCACCACCGACCAGTCGGTAAGGCAGCCCCAGGCTCTCCTTCCCATCCCCAAGGGCAGAGAAGCTGCCACACTCCCCTTGCAGCATCTGTCAGCCCCATCTCAGTGTGAGCTGTCACTGCACGTCCCAAATCTCAGGCCCATGTGCTCACACCACGTGACTGCCGCATGTGCAATGAATCAGACATGAGCAGGCAGTTGTGCTTGTGCCAGGCTACCTGCTGCATGCATCAGGGTGGCTGCCGAGATCATCATGGTCAGGACTGGTGAAAGCCACCCTTAGCAGTGATGAGAGCACGGCCAGGAGAGTGGGCCTGCCAGTCCTGCCACCCCCATGAGCCGTCCATTGGCAATTTGGGTCCAAACACTAATGCTTATTGTCGCTGATGGTGGACTACAGGTGTCAGCCCCTTCCTGAAGTTCAATCTGAGAGTGAATTTGCCACTCCTCTGCACTTCAAGTGCTGCTTCTTGTGTTTGGCTTGTCCCTAAGCAGTGCCCCCCAGCCCACTGGTGCCATTGGGGCAGTTTGTTTTGGGAGGTGCTCACCTGCAGTGGCCCACCGTGATCCGGAAGGAACTAACAGCTGCTCTTCTCCTCTCCCTGTGTGCACTTCCTCAGGATGTTTCTCAGAGAAGCAAATCTGAAAAACTGCTGGCTCTGAAAAGGGTATCAGTGTGTGATCTGTCCTCCAAGGGAGGAGTGCAGGCAGGGCTCAGCCAACGGCTCAACCGATGCAGGAGGGGGCTGCCACCTCACCCAGCTGTCCCTGCTGTGGGCAGTCTGAGTGCTAGCCCTGGCTGGGGCCCCCCTGGCCAGTAGCAGCTGGGCAAAGCCCCAACAGCGTTTGGGGAAGTCAGTGGCCAGATTGCCCATGGCTCAGAGCTGGGCAAGGCAGGGAGGGCATGCAGTGGGGAACAACCCCTTTCCTGGTGAACCCCCACTGTTCCCTGCCTGGCAGTGGGACAGGACTCATATTTGACAGCAACAACATAAAACAGGTCCTTGTCCCTCTATTCTCAGCTGAGCTTCACCCCCAGCCCCTGCTGTGCTGCAGGGTGGGGGCCAGACAGCCCCCATGCTGGAGCCTCCACTGACATTCCATGTCTTGGCCTGGCTGTGCCTGTTGCATGGTGTTGGGATTTCCCTGTCCTGCATGTGGCTTTGCATGTGACTCCCATCCCTGGGGTGAGGGCATCTCTGTCCAGCTGCCCCCTGCTCCTGTGTGTGTGTGTACCAGGCAGCAGGAGGGCAGGGAGCAGCATACCTGCTCCCTCTGACCCTTGGCTGGCCTGTGCAGGTGGCCAGTGTGAGGAAGACCACAGTCCTGGACGTGATGAGAAGGTTGCTGCAGCCTAAAAACGTGATGGTGTCCACAGGGCGAGACAGGCAGACCAACCACTGCTACATCGCCATCCTCAACATCATCCAGGGAGAGGTGGATCCTACACAGGTTGGTTCCCATGGTTGTTCAGGTACTGATGGCCATGGGGTGGCCCAGGGAACAGTATGGTCACTGTCTGTGCAGGGATTCTGGAGTGACACGAGGCAGTACCAGAGAGCTGGCTTCAGATTGCTCCTGTTTGGGCTTAGGCCTCAACGGAAAGGCTGCAGTCATGCTGAAGTCCACGTTCCCATGGCTGTGCCTCCTGGGAGGAGCAGCTCCTGGGTCTGCTGCAGCCAAGCTGTTTGTCCCTCACCCTGCTGCCCCTTGCTGTTCTCATCCCACCAGGTTCACAAGAGTCTGCAGCGGATCCGGGAGAGAAAGTTGGCCAACTTCATCCCCTGGGGCCCTGCCAGCATCCAGGTGGCTTTGTCCCGCAAGTCCCCTTACCTGCCGTCCGCTCACCGTGTCAGTGGGCTCATGATGGCAAACCACACCAACATCTCCTCGGTGAGTGCCTTCCCTCGCCACGCCGGGCCCTGTAGCCCCACACCTTGTGTTTCTTCAGTCTGGGCCTGTCACAAAGCCAGGGACAGGGTGGGTGGCTCCCAGCAGGCGTCAGGTCTGGTCCAGGGTCCTCCCATCAGTCCTGCTGGCCAAGGTGCAGGGAAGGGTCCCTGGGGAGCTCTGGCCCCCCTGACCCTGAGCTGCTCTCCAGCTATTTGAGCGGACGTGCCGGCAGTATGACAAGCTGCGCAAGCGAGAGGCTTTCCTGGAGCAGTTCCGCAAGGAGGACATCTTCAAGGACAACTTCGACGAGCTGGACAACTCCCGGGAGATCGTGCAGCAGCTGATCGATGAGTATCATGCAGCCACACGCCCTGACTACATTTCCTGGGGCACGCAGGAACAGTGAGTGCCCTGCCAGGAGACAGGAAGGTCCCGTGGCCACCCCCACACTCGCCGGCAGGGCTCGTCTCTGCCGTGCCCACGTTTATCACCCCTCGGCGCTGCCTGGCGCGGCAGAGCCCTCGCGCCGGCCGAACACGGAAGGCCCTCAGCGAGGAGCCTGCAGCTCCTCAGCGGGGTCAGCCTCCGCCCCACCGTGTGCCCTGGCCCAGGACAGGACTGGGGCAGCTGCGCGCTCTGCTGGGAGGGAACCTCTGCCTGTGGGAGCAACACTTGCCGTAAGGAGGAGGAGAGTGACCCTGAGGCTGGGAACAGGCCTGGCCCCCCCGTGGCCAAAGGCTCCGTGTGGCTGAGCTAGTCCTTGCCCTGGGCAGGAGCCTTGTTCCTCCTTGGCCAGATCAGGCCTGGGGCACGGGCTGTATCTATATTTTTGTAGGTTATTTTGCTTTAATAAAGGCTGTTCCTGCACTGATGCTGCCTGCATGACTCCAGATTGAACAGCCAGGCAAGGAAGCCAGATGCAGAGAAACCTGGGGCTGGTGCTTGCCTTGTCTGGGCGGCCAGCTGGCCCCACGGCACAGGAGCTCCTGGGGCGTGCAGGGCCTGCTCAACCCCAGCTGGCAGTGCCATGGGGCCCAGGCAGCACTGGGCAATTGCTGCTGCAGAGCCAGAAATACTGGCAGGACCTGCCGGCATCGCTGACCAGGGTTGGGACCAGCACCGCCCTGCCCGCAGAGCACACAGCACCCACATGGATATTATACAGGAGTGAGTCCATGTGCTGGGGTGGGCCATGAAGGGCTGGGGGTGCCCTCACCGCTCAGGATCCAAGGCAGGAGACAGCAGCACTAGGAAGGACATGGGCTTGAGGCCGTGCAGTGTCAGGTGATATGGACACAGCAGCTCTGGTACTGCGCTGTGGGAGTTGGGCTGTGGGCTGGGGACAAGGGGCAGTGCTGGCGCCATCCCAAGCCCAGGCAGCCCAAGGCGAAAATTAGCATTTTCCTCTTGCCCTTTGGGGCACAGAGCAGGCGACTAAAAATACAGCCAGCATGGCAGCATGGGCTCCCACGCCCTCTTTGGCAGCGGCCCCTGTGGCTGGGGCAGTTCCCCCCGCCGGAGCAGCCAGTGCCAGGGGCTGCCGGGGAGCTGGAGCTGCCTGTGCTCTTGGTGAAATGCCAAAGGTCGCCTGGCAATGACCAGAGGGACAGCAGTCCCTGCCCCCAAGGACATGCTGTGCCACTCCTCCCTGCTGCCTGTCCCAGGCCCTGCTGCCCTGGCTGCCCCAGGGATCTGACTGTCCCAGCCTCCCGCTGTCAACCCACGCTCCAGGACAGGAGGCCCAGCCTTTCCTTTGTGCATTTATTTAGAAAAACAATCAACCAACCCCCCCATCCCAAGACAGAACCAACAAACTCTACAGAGGCAACACTGAGGGGCCAAGCCCCAGCCGTACCAGCTGCCACTCCACCAGCCACCCCTGTGACATAAGCCTGGCCACAGGGCCACCGCAGAGCCCAGCCACTCATGCAGGAGGAGCCTACGGGTCCCCGGGGCAGCTTGGCTAAAGCTGCCCGCAGCTTTCCAGAAGGGGTGGGTCCAGAGGACGGACAGACAGATGATGGCACAGCACTACTGCCTGGTACCCTCTGCTCTGGGAGAAGCCCCCAGAGCACAAGCAGAGTGGCCAGGCAACACAAGTGCTGGAGGCAAAGGCACCAGGGTATAGGGGAAGGGGTCAGGCCTGGGGGCAGTCTGGGGGGCCGCAGCAGGGCGGCCCTGCTGCCCACCAGGGAAAGTGCTGGGAGATGTGGGGCGCGCAGGCGCTCAAAATAAATTAAGGGAATAGCCAGAAAGGCAATGGCAGTGGGGGGAGCATGACCCCCTGGCCCCCTGCTCTCTGGAGCAGCTGGGGGCCAGCACAGACCTGCCACTCGCTGCCGGGCTTGGTGGCCCTCCCACGCTGGCCATCGGTGCACCTGCTGGCCACACCTGCTGTTGGGCTAGCTGTGGGAGGAACCCACTGGTGGCCGGTGCTGCCAGGGCCCAGCTGCAGGGCAGAGCCCCTGGGGCAGCACAGTGGGCTCCGAGGTGGGGTTACTGGTGGGAGGCTCCTGGGGCCGGGGCAGCCGCTGGGCACCCGCAGAGGCGAGGTACGTGTTGAGGAGCTGGGCAATCTCATCCACCTGCAGGTAGAGCAGGCAGAGGGGGTCAGCCTGGGCCACCCTTGGTGAGAGGGGAGGGCGGAGGGATGGCAGCCCCTTACCTGGGAGGTCTCAAAGAGCAGGTCTCGATCCTCCACGGAGAGGCGGAAGGTGCTGCTGTCAGAGGCACCAAAGGAGGAGATGCGGCCGTAGCAGAAGCTGTCCAAGGGCTCGGGCTCTCCCGGCTTGTAGAGCGAGACAGCCTTGGCCCCGATGCTCAGCCACAGGCGCTGGGGCCCGGAGCCCAACGGGCTCTGCAGGGAGAGGGGTGTCAGGGTTGCCCACTGCCAGGGCTGCCCCTGTACCACACCCAGCCGGGGCCTCACCGCATGCAGGTCGACATCGAAGAGTGTGGAGCCAAAGCCAGGCCACTCCCGCACCAAGGCCACGTAGGCGGCCATGGCCTCGGGCCGGCCCATGCCCTGCAGCAGCTTCCACTTCTCCACAATGGCAGCCATGGTGCTGGCCCCCTCCTCGCGCAGACGGCCCCGCAGGCGCTGGTCCCTCTCCGCCCGCTGCTTGGCCAGCGCTTGACCCCAGAGCCCGCCGGCCAGCAGCCCTGCACGCAGTCGGGCCCCCCGGCACTTGGTGGGGGGCTGGTGGGGCAGGGGTGGCAAGCGGGCATGCAGCACGTGGGGTGGGAAGAGCTCCTCCAGGCGCGGGAAGGGCGCGTGGGTGGAGAAGTCGCTGTTGAGACTCTGCAGGCGCAGGGCCGCCAGTGTCTGCAGTGTCTCCTCTGATGTGGGCACGTAGCCCCGCAGCACCATCTCATGTGCCTGCGAGAGAGAGGGGTGAGCTGGCACGGCCACCACGGGACGGCACGGCACAGCACAGCCACCCCAGTGTGCCACTCACCTGCTCAAAGAGGAGGGCAAACTCCAGGCTGTCCCGTGGGACATTGTCCGTGTCCAGGAAACCGTAGTGCTTGAAGCAGAGCCGGCATGGTGGGTCCTGCTCGCGGTCCTCTCCAGCCAGGCTGCAGCAGACAGGACCAGCTCCATCAGCTTGTGGACGTGCCCCATACCATCTGTTCCCTCCCACCCGTGGCCCCCCAGCCCCTCTCCTTCATAGGCAGCAGAACAGGAGGACATTTACTTTTCAAACCTGGTGAGGACATCAGCCAGCAGTGTGGCACTGCCCACTGGCTGCTCCCGTCGCCGGGACTGCTCGTAGAGCGCAAAGAGGTTGGGGCTCTGGGACAGCCCCAGGCGTGACACAAGTTCCTGGGCCACCTGGGCGAGACAAAGGCAACCGATGGTGACCACGTGTCCCTGGCCACGGCACTCAGGGCTGCAAAGGGACACAGATAGGTCATGGTGGGCAACGGCAGACAGCCCCTGGTCCCTCTCCACCATGGCTTAGCTGGGAGAGACTCTGCTCACCTGCTGTGGTACATTGCCCACCCAGCCCTGTGCACCAAAATGTCCCCAGCCCCCTGCCTGGCACAGCCATAACCTCTCTCACCTCTTCGGCTGTGGTGTGGGAACTGATGGCCACACTGCAGGCGGGCACCCCAGGGCAGTGCACTGTGCAGATCATCTCTTGCCGCTGCATCAGCACCAGGATCTCCTCCAGAGAGGGCACGCACTCCCTCCCCTTCGTCTTTTCCAACGCCTCCCGGATGAAGCAGGCATATTTGGCCATCTCCGAGGCAGGAAAACGGTTCTCTGTCCTGCAAGAAACGCCAGGATGATCAGAGTGGCACTGATCTGAGGGGTGCTTAGTACCTGGTGAGCTCCCTGGTGGCAGCTGGCACCTCTGGAACTCACCTGTCCAGGTGGAAGCGCAGGAAGCGCAGGACAGGCGGGGAAGGCAGGAAGGTGCAGCTCATGCAGGTGAGGAGCTGCCAGTAGTGCAGGTCGCCCTGCCCACCTGGCGCCAGCGGCTCCGTAGTCTGCTTCACCAGCTGGCAGTAGATCTCATCCACCAGCGGTGGCAGGTCCAGGCAGGTCTGCAGGACACCCTGCATCAGCGGCACCGGGTCCCGCTCTGACTCCAGCTGCTGCAGCGAGTTGAAGAGCTTCACAGCCTCATCACGCAGCGTGGTGTAGCTGCGGGGGCCAGGGGCTGTGGGATGGGATGAGGGTTAACAGCGTTGTGGTTCTCCCCAGGAGCCCTTGCCAGCAGCTGGGCACTGCCCTCACACCCAGGGCCAGCCAGGCCCCTGCCCTGCACAGCGTCCAGCCCAGCCATCACTGCCACCAGCCTAGAGTGTAGGACCCAGCTCTGTGCCCCCCACCTGCCTCTCACCGCTTTGGTCCAGGCTGCCATAGGGGAAGGGCAGCAGGGGAGCGTAGAGGGGGCCACTGGTGTAGCGCAGGATGGGGTTGCAGCGATAGATCTGCTCCAGAACCTCGGGGCTGTCTCTGTGCTCCTAGGGGGGCAAAGCAATGGCAGTAGCTACAGTCACCTGGCCGAGTGCCTGACACAGATCCCCACCACCACTCTGGGGTATGCAAGGCCCCAAACATCCATCCCAGTGCTGCTGTGGGCAGGGACAGCCCGGTGCCATGGGCTCACCTCGACATCACGCATGAGCAGCTGGGTGGGCGTCTGGACAGGAGCTTTGCTGTCAATGACCTTCTGCACAGCACACACCCAGCGCACAGCCTCGTTGAGGTGCTCTGTGTACAGGCGGTAGCAATGTTTCCTGCCAAACACCGTCACACTCCAGTAGCCTGCGAGGGACAGACCCACTCACCCACTGTCCACCAGCACCCCAGCCAAGCTGGCTCAGTGCCCCAGGGCTCAGCATAGCCCCTCCTTTGGGCAAAAGAGGCCCTCAGGGCTTGGAGGGTAACACAGGGCACAAGGGGTTGGGAAGACACAGCCCGGCCAAGGGGCATGGGCACCTCACCTGTCTCCTTGTAGAGCTGCTTGTCCGGCCAGAGCACAGAGCAGAGGCTGGTGAGCACTAGGGAGCCCAGCCGCCGGGCCCCCTTCTCGTTGCTGCTGTAGTAGTCCAGGGAGTCAGGTGTCAGCACGAACCAGTACTTCCGAGGACGGATCCAGGGGGTCTTCATGCAGCCCCGCATCTCCCGCTGCAGCCAGCCTGGGAAGGGGAACCCTCAGTGCTCACTGACATCCACCCCACCGGCTTCTCAGCACAGGGAAGGGTCTGCACAGGTCTGACCATCCCTCTGGGATGGGAGCAGGCACAGCTGGGGCACAATCCTACCTTTCACAAGAGCATCAGGGTCATCCTCAACTGGCCCTGGGCCCTTCTCCACGATGAGGCTGCGCATCTCCTCCGCAACAAGCAGGGACCTGAGGACAACATGGGGCTGAGCTCAGGTACCCATGGGGGTCTCCTACAGCCCCTGCACAGGGAGCTGGCCTTGGGTCTGGAATGAGCTGGGTCCCAAGGGGCTCTGTGCACCCCAGAGCCCTGCGGTGGGAACGCGGCAGTCATTGGGTGCAAATGACCCCAGCTAAAAATAAGCTGTTTGCAGTCTTGGCCTTGCCAAGGAATTCGGAAAATGAACAACCAGGAAGGAATGTTGGCAGCAGCGTCAGTACTGCGAGTACAGGGAGCGAGCAGGCCCCTGTGCCCCGGCACCCCATCTTCCTCAGCACCAACCACCCCAGGGCAGAGCCTCTGCTCATGGACACAGCCTGGCAGAGCCTCCTGGCAAGGAAGAGTCATGCACAGCCCCGTCAGCTAAGCCTGCGGCAGTCAAGCTATCCAGCATGGCAGGGAAAAGGAGACATGCCTGAGGATGCGCCAGGCATGGGGACAAACACGGCAGTCCTGGCTCTGCCACTCCCTGCTCTGCCTGACAGAGCAGCACAGCCTGGTGCTAGCTCTGTGGGCAGGATGGTTCAGCACACACCAGCACCAGGGCAACCTCCCACAACATGCCAGTCCCTCGGCTCCTGCAGCACCCCACAAGGGACACAATGCAGGACAGAGGCAGGGGATCACTCACCGCTCCGAGCCACTGCTGCTACGGGTGGGCTGGCTCAGGCTCACCTCCAGGGATCCCTGGGGAGGAAGGAGACATCTCAGTCCCACGGTCATTACCTGGTACCCTTGGCCATCCCCCCATGATTGTACGCCTCCTCATCTACCCAGCTCTGGGCCCAGAGAGACAGGCTCACATCCTGCTGCCATGGGGCAGAAGAGCCCGGGCATCCACAAGGCCACGGCAAGAACCAGGGCTGCAGCTGGGGCACCCCGGGTGCGGGGACAGCCGGCGGGTGCGCTGGCCATGTGTCCTCAGCTGACCCGGCTGGCTGAATACCGTGCAGAATTGCACAAGGTCAGTGCTGAGTAATACGCTTACGGCACAAAGTCCCATTGTAATGGGGCCACTGACTTCCTGCCCGCGGCGGTGGGACGCAGCACTGGGAAGTCCCTGGCCCTACAGTAGGACAGGGTCAGTTCCTCCTCACGCAGCACAACTTGACATGGACAGTGCCGCTCACGTGACAGCCCTGGCACACATGCTGGGACATGAGGCAGAGCCCAGGCACAGGCAGGCACCGGATCGGGCAGGGTGCCCAGCAGAGTGGGGTGCGGGGACATGGAAGCACCGGCAATGCTGTCCTGGTTGATGCACGGGAGCTCCTGCCAGCTGCAGCCCAACAGGGCAGCTAGAGGCACGACAGGCCAGAGCACGCAACGCCAAGAAAAAGAGACAGATGCTAAAAATAGTGACAGGGAGGGGGGAGCCACCGCAGGTATGGTTGTGCTGTGGAGCAGGACCAGACACCGCTGACCTGTGGCATTAAGGGCACCTGTCACTTAACTGCTGGTACCGGTGCACAGGGCCAGCATCTCCAGACACTGCCCCACTGCCAGGCTGGGGAGGGCCTCATGCACTCCTCAGGGCTGCAGGCACGGAGGCAGCGCCTGGTTTCTTGCGGGCAGTCCAGAGGAGGCAGTGGTGGCAGCCGGCTCCTTCTCAGGGATATAAATAAACAGGAGAGGAGCTGCGGCGACAGGGCGAGGGTAGCTGCTCCCACGCTCCCACGAAGAGAGCAACTGTGGGTTTCCAAGGACCCCCTGGCCACAGCAAAGGGCTCTCGGGGGAGCTGGCGTCACCAGTCGCCCACGCCAGCCCGGAGCCAGTGTGGCCCATGGGATGCGGGAAGCCCAAAGACTGTTCCTTACGTAGTTGTGCCCTTGGCACTGCCACCAGTTCCCAGAGGGCCCAGCTCCAGCCCTGTCACTGTCCCCACTTCCCATGGGGCTAGCACTGCTGGGAAAGGCGCCCTACTGCTAAAGGACCGACAGCGTAGGGTTGCCCCCAGCCCTGCACAGCCCGGGCCGTGCTGCAGCCCCTGGAGTGGGCAGGGGAGAGGGGCCACAGCAAGCGGAACCAGGCAGTCACCACCGCCTGCGTCCCCCGAGTCCGGGCTGGGATTCGTCCCCACGGCCCTTGGTGCAGGAGACCGACGGGACCGGGACAGCCAGGAAGCCCCCGGGAGCCGGGGCTGTCCCCGCACCCCGCTTTATCAGCCGTCGAACACGCAGCCCGGTCGGAGGAAGCACCGGTTTCCGCCGCTCCGTTTCCCTCCAGAGAGGAAGCAGCCGGAGAGGGGAGATCCAGGCCCGCTCCCCACGCCCGGCACGTGCTCCCGGGACAGCCCCGGCCCGCTCCGGCGGGGCACCCGGGTCCGCGCCGCGCACCGGACCGCCGAGGGTCTGGCGCGGTAGCCCCGCGGCAGACCCATCCTAAGGAGGGAGCAGGAGCACCCAGCGGGCAGCGGGTACCGTGAGGGTCGGCCCTGCCCCGCGGGCTCGGGACCTTCGCGCCCGCCGGAGCCCTCCCTGGGCTGCGGCTCGCCCGAACTCGCCGGAACGAGCCACCCCTGCACCCAGCAGGACCATCCCGGCTGTGCTCGTCCCAGTGGTCGTCCCAGAGCCGGTGCCAGCCCCACCTGGTCTCCCTGGGCGCGGAGCTCGAAGGACGCCTCCTCCTCCTCTTCGGCCTCGCCGTCCGCCTCCCGCTCCGCCTCGCCGTAGTCCCGCCGCAGCAGCGTGAATCCCCGTCGACAGCACAGCAGCCACCACAGCCCACCCGGGAACGGCATCGCCCCGCCGACACCAACGGGACGGCACCGGGACGCGACGGGACCGGCCCGCCCCGCGCACCGGCCGCCGGCCCCGCCGCCGCCCCGGGCGGGCCGGGCCGCGCGTCACCGGGCGCCGCCAATCGCCGCGCGCGGCCCGGGGCGGAGCTCCTGCCCGGGGCGGCGGGGCCGCCGGTGCGTCAGCGGCGGGGCGGGGGCAGCGCGGGGCCGGACTGCGGTAGGGCCGGTGCTCCCGGAGCCACCGCCGGTGGGGTGCACCGTGTACCCACGGCACCTGACGGGGCACCGACACGGAGCACTGCCCGCGCCCGGTGTGGACACCGGCACCGGGCACCGGCCCTTGCCTTGCCCCGCGCCACCCCCATCATGCGCTGCCCTGGCTCCTGCGTGCGGCAATGCTGGCGCCCGCCCCAGCATGGCGGCTCAGCCCGGTGTGGTGCCAAGTTTGTGCCAGCGGACAGCACCGTGGGCTCTGTGCTCGGCTAGGGGGGCACCGTGGGCCGGACGGCACCATGCCCGGGGAGGCCTGTCCTGCAGGCTCTCATAGCGCCTTTCCACAAAGGAGCTGGTGCAAGGCGTTCATGGTGGGGTCACACGTGGTACCACAACTATGTGGCTCAGCTCAGCCCTGGGCTCTGCCCAGTGGCAGAGGGTCTGCAGCTCCCTCAAGCCATCGGTGCCCTGGCAGCGTCCAGGCCCTGGCCCCGACGCTCCAGGAGTTAAGGCTCTGGCTCTGCTACAGCTGTTGGGTCACCGCCGGCCCTGGGAGCCTGGGTGCTGGGATGCGCAGGCAGGAAGCTCTGGCTGCCAGTTCCCCTCCCACGCAGCCTGCTCTGGATTGTGCCTGGGGCTGAGCCGATGGTGTGGGGCCGGCTATGCTGTCAGGGCAGTCACGGGCATCCAGAAGAGCCCACCAGCTATAGGGGCAGTGGAAGACTGGAGTGGGATCACCCAAGACCACAGGCTGGGTGGGTAGCAGGGGCAGCTGTGCTGTCTGGCCAAGAACTGTCCGAATCTGGCCCTTGATCCCCCACCGAGGGCTGCAGGGGACAGAGGCCCATCACCCCGCCTCTGCGGCTGCTGAGTCAGCAGTAACTTGTTTCTGGCCCAGCAGTAAGTGAAGCTTCTGGAATGGCTTCTTCTAGTCGAGCCCTGGGCTAATCCCAAACAGAGCAGGGGGTGAACAGGAAGTAGCCTCCAGCCTCGGCAGGACTGGGATTGCTTCTCTGCATGCCTAGCTCTGCTGGGAGACTCCATGAGCAGCTGCACTGCAGTCAAGCCCAGTCCTGTTCCCGGCACTGTGGAAGACTTCTTTAGCCAGGCCTGGTGAGTGGGACACTGCACGGCCCCGGCGCTGCCGGCCCACGGTACCATGTGCCAGCCCCTGCGACATGTGTCGCTCGCCATGTCCTAGCCCGTGGTCATGTGTTGGTTGCCACGTGTCCGGGCCCGGCCAGCTCCAGCGCAGCACCCTGGTGCCGGAGAGCCTCTGGGCCGGGATATGCAGAGGAGCTCGTGGGGGAAGTAAGGAGGGGAGACAAACGTCCCTCTGCCCCCGCCCTGGGGTGCAGGACCCAAGGGTCCTTCCGGGGTGTCTCTGCTGTCCCCTGTCCGGGGACTCCCTGTCCCTCCAGCGGTGGGGACGAGCGGAGGGCGGCAAGGAAGCGCGAGCTTCTGCTGCCTCCTGCAGGCATCGCCCGCCAGTGCCCGTGGCCAAGGAGCCGGAGCCGGCCCCGGCCCCACAAAACACCCCCAGGCCAGCGTCGCCCCGCACGGACACTGCTCTCGCCCACCGGGACACGTTCAGGGTTTATTTGTGAGAGCGGGAACCAGCTGCCTGCCTGTTGCACCCACCGACCCGGCTCACGGCACCGCCCGAACCCCCCCAGCATGTGATACATTGCATGGCCCTCGACGCGCGTGACATTGCAGAGTTCCCCTGAAACACGCGTGACATTGCGGGGACCGCAGCCCAGCGGGTCGCCGGGCAATGAAGGCACTCGCAGGGTATGCAGGCACTGCGGGGCTGCTCTTCCCTCTGCCCAAGCGTGTGCAGGCGCCGTGCGGATCGTCTGGTGCTGCCCGTGCCCAGCGGCTCGCTGGGGCAGGTCCGTGCACGGACGGGGCTGTCCCCGGGGAGTCGCGGAGGGACCGAACCCCCTGCCCCGGCCGCGGGCACTGGGCTACTACACCACGTCCGAGCAGCTGGAGAGCGATGTCCGGCGGCAGGGACTGGGGCAGCCGGAGCAGCGCGGGTCGAGGGAGCCCACACAGCCGGCGTCACTGGCGAGCAGCCACAGCTCTCGGCGGAAGCGCTGGCCAAGGAAGGCGTAGAGCAAGGGGTTGAGGCAGCAGCGCAGGTACGCCAGCCCGCCGGTGACCAGCAGTGCCAGGTCCTTGCGGCGGCTCTGGGCACAGCTCATCTCCCAGCTGGCCAGCAGCTCGGCCGCGTCCAGCAGCACCATCAGGCTGTGGGGAAGCTGCAGGGCCACAAAAACCAGCACGAGGGCCAGCAGCACTCGCAGCGCCCGGTGGGGTTGGGCACCGCGGGCCGCCAGCAGTGTTCGTGCCACCGCTGTGTAGCAGCTTGCCATCACCAGGAAGGGCACCGCGAAGCCGAGCACCACCTGCACCAGGTTGGTGGCCCCCCGGGCTACCCGTGAGACCACATGGGGAAAGACGACACGACAGAGCCGGATATCCTGGTGCTGCTCTGCCTGGCTGTAGATGAACTGGGGCAGGGCTAGCAGCGTGGCCAGCAGCCAGGCCGACCCCGCTGTCAGCCAGCCATGGCGGCGAACTCGTGGGCGCAGGCGGTAAGCAGTGGACACCCGCACAATGGCCACATAGCGATCCACGCTGATACAGGTGAGGAAGAGGAAGCCGCTGTAGAAATTGAGGGCGTAGAGACCCTGCAGCGCCCTGCAGGCGGCTGTGCCTGTGGACCAGCCCTGCAGCTTGTCGGTGATGGCGAAGGGCAGCATCAGGAGCAGCAGGAGGTCAGATAGAGCGAGGTGCAGGAGGCAGACATCGGTGATGCTGTGTACCTGGCCGTAGCGGGTGCGTGTGAGCAGCACCAGCCCATTCCCCACTGTGCCCAGCAGTGAGAGCAGCAGGTACACGGCAGGCTGGAAGGTGCGGGCGAAGCCCTGTATTTCCTGCTTCTCACAGATCTCAGGCAACATGTCGGCCTCGCCCGAGTACCCGTCCTCCCATAGGTAGAAGTCAGTGGTGGTCATCAGCTCTGTTGAGACGGGGCTGGGAGTTACCTGTGCAGAGGGAGGCTGAGTGAGGAGGAGTCGGCAGTGGTGGCAGAGCACCACACCCAAGGCAGCCCTTCTCCACCCAGCCTCACCACTGAGAGCGTGGGTGTGTCGCCGCCCCCGGTCCCGCGCGCGGTTTGTTTCCGTCTCACATCCACCCTTCAGCAGGGGGAGGAAACACCGTGCTCAGGCATTGCAGGAGTGACCGCACATTTTCCCAGCAGCCGTCTGTAATACATAACTGGTGGAGGGACATAACCCCAGTCATGGTGTCTCCAGCACAGCACCATGTCCCACGAACTGACCCTGAACCTGCCAGGGGAACTGCTCTGGGGCTCAGCACCCAGGCTATGGCCCCAAGTGCCCTGGGCAATTGAATCTTGGGGATCCACACCAGCATCCCCAGGTGCCCAAAGCCCCCACATACCACCCTGGGGACCCCAGCCTTGCACTACCTGGTCCTGCTCCCAGATAGGGAGCTCCTGCCTCACACAGGTTGCCGGCAGCTGAGCACAGTGCTCCCACCTCCCAGCTGCTCAGCCCTGCTCTGGGGCAGCAGAACAGTGCTGCAGCCTGGTACTGGTCAGTTGGGACCCCATTGACCTGGCGATCAGGATCTGACACTCTCTGACTCTCAGTAACCTCACAATAGCAATTTCACTCTGGCCCCTATCAGTGAACCCAGGGATCTGGGGTTGAACCCCTCAACTGCTCTGGGGCCACAGGTGGGATCAGAACCCAGTGCCAGGGCAGGTTGACTCTCTAGCAGCTCCTCTAGCCCTTTCCTGCTCGGGGCCTCAGGGGCATGGAGCAGCAGGCACTGCTCTAATTCCCCAGCCTCTCAGTCTTAGCCCGCGGGGCTCACAAGAAAACTACCTTAAAAAACTAAGAAAAGCCAGTGACGGGGGGTCCTGCCTGGCACCCAGCAAACCCCTCACCCTGCAGCCCCCTCACCTGCTTCATCATTGCACAGCAGAGTCTTTCTTCTGGCCAGCGGGTCTGAAGCTGTACATGGTCAAAACACAGGTTACAGAGAGGTGTTTCAGTGCTCTCTAATCTGTGGTTTGACCACGTGCAACTCCCTGATACTGAGAACATGCAGAGCACAGGCCCAGCCCTGGGGAGGAAGGCAGATGTGACCCCAGTTAGGAGCCTGTCCTGAATCCTTTACTTGGTGCATCTTTTACATCTGCATGCTGGGAACAGAAATAGCAGCTCTACTCAGTTTCTGTCATGCGGGTGTGCAGGCCAAACCCGGGAGCACCCAGCCAGGGAAGCAGGGTCTGTCCGAGGACATCCAGCACATGCAGGAAACCCCAGCCCACCCCAGGACTACTGTTGGCTCCTGCAGGACCAGAGGGAACGGGGCCAATGAATGGAGTGGGGGCTGCTGTGGGCTGGCACTGAGCTGGGCACAGGCAGGATGCTCCTCCAGCAGGATCAGCAGAGCCTGTCTAGTCTAGGATCATCTTTTCCCGATGGCAAACATGATGGTTCCAGAAGCTGAGGTGGCTGCTGGTGCAGGGCACACCACCGACCCAGGGGTCCCAACCTGGCGCTGTATCCCTGCAGTGCTGGGCAGGCATGTTGCTGCTTGTTGACAACAAAATTCCCAGCTCCTCATTAAAAAGAGATTAGTTCCTGTGGGGCAGAGGCCCCATTTCCTCTCGCCAGGGAGGAGAAAATTGATCCCTAGCTTTAATGGGCTCCTGACCATAATCCCGCAATCCCCCTTTCTCCCAGCTACAGCTGTTTTTGCCGTGGCTTATCTCCAGTCTGCCCTGGGCCCTCCTGCTGCCTCCAGACGAGCACAGGATCCCGGGTGATCGCTGTGGGGCTGTGGAGCTGCTGCACCCTGGATGAAGAGCAGCCAGGACAGGCGCCCCCCAGCCTCCAGGGGGTCCCCAGGGCTCTTTGCTGGAGGGTCTCTTCCCCCTCTCCTGCTCTTTCTGCAGTACAAGGATGCTAACTACAGATCTCTGCTCTGTGCTGGCTCTGGGGGTGCTTTCCTGCACCCTGCATTTTGAGGGAAGGGAGAAGGATCCTGGGGCCAGTGCTGACCCTACAGCCAGCTATGGGTACAGAGCAGGGATTCTATATGTCCCTGTTGGGGGGTCACAGATCTGACCCAGCACAGGGTCAGGATGTGGGGCTGTGGCCAGAGCAGGCAGCCCCCTGGCATGTCAGGATAAGGCCATGTGGGCTGTGCCTCTCCTGGGGATGGACCCACAGGCAATGCCAGGGGCTGGGGGACAGGAGGGTGAGTGCCAACGTCCTCAGCATGCGGTTCCAGCTCCTGGTAGCAGAACTCCTGGTGCACTGCCAGGTGTCCCACATCCCTGCCACACCTGGGGCTTTCTATCCTCCCTCACTCCCCAGCCGCGGCCTGGGCTCTGCCCGGGCAGGGAGGAGCTGTAGCACGGGCTGCCCGCAGGCTGTGCTGCCCCGCCCGCAGCAGCCAGGCCCGGCACACGCTGCCAGGTCCAGAGCCACCCGTGAGGAGCTGCCTGCCCCAGGCACAGCTTGGCCGTGCTCCTGCTCTACGCTTGGAGCCAGCCTAGACCCAGCAGCTGCTGGGGCATCCCCGTCTCTCGGGACTGCTCGAGGCCCCTGGGAGAGCAGATCTACTGCCCCTGCGGGGCCAGGGGACACGGAGCACCGCGGGTCTGTAGGTGTATGTAGGGCACGCAGGCACCAAACCCCCCAACCCCTCTGTGGGCGTCTGGGGGTGGTTGAGAGCAGATACAAACTAAATCCCTTCTTCTGCATCACTGGAGAGAGCAGCGACCCCGAGACCTGCAGGCCTTAATCCACGGCTTGATTACAAATCGCCGCCGCACCACATCTGCTGCGGGGGGGCTGCGGGCACCGCTCCGAGCCTCCCTGCACGGGGGCTGCAGAGGGGCAGGGACGGGGAGGCTCAGAGTGCGTCGAGGACCGGGGGCGCCCGGAGAGCTCCTGCACAGCCTCACTGTGCCCCCGTACCCCCACCCACAAGAGCCGTGTCCCGGTGCAGCCCGGGGCGGCCGGCAGCTCGCCGTGCCCAGGAGCGGGGAAATCGGGCTCCCGGGCGGAGCATCTCCTCGGGGCGCGGCAGCGGGTGCGGCGGGGGCGGCCGAGGCTCTGCGCCGCGCCCGGCCCGGCCCGGCTTTCCCCCCGCCCCGTGGGTGGAGCCGCCGGCCCCGCTCCGCCGCGCGGCTGCAGCACCGGGAGCGGCGGCGCCGAGGGCGCTCGGGGCGCTCAGCATGGGCGCCCGCCGCCTCCTCGGGCTCCTGCTCGCCGCCTGCGCCGGCTTCCTGCGCCCCGGTCCCGGCTGCCTCGCACGTAAGTGGGGCCGCAGTCCCGGGAGCTGCCGCTCCGCACTGCGGGACCGCGCCCGCCGCCCCGTCCCCGCATCCCCGAGCAGTTCCAGCATCCTCCGATCTCTCGGGCATCCCCTCCTTCTTCCCCGGGCATTCCCCAGCATCTCTCAATATCCTCCGCTGCCCCTGTTCGCATCGTTCCCAAGGTCACCGCCGGACACGGGCGTCCGGGCTCTCCTCCCGACCGCGCCCCGCCCGGGGCGGCCCCGCCGCAGCCCCCCCGCCTGCGGCGGCCCCGCTCCCGGCCACAGCCTCTGGGGACCCGGGACAACCGGGACGCCCCGAGGACCCGGGATGCCCCGGAATGCCGAGGAGAGCGGGGCCACCCCGCGGGACCGGCCGGGCTCCGCCAGCACCTCGGCCAGCGCCGCCACCCGCCTGGCTGGCCCCGCCAGGGCTGCACCGGGCCCGACTCGCTACCGGGGCTGGGGGCAGCCGCTCGGGAAGGTGAATCGGCGAGGCCCTGGTCGCATCGGGCAGCTCCCCGTGGCCCCCTGAGCTGGCGCCCGGAGCCCCTTCCCCGGGGCAGCGAGGAGGGGGGCGGTGGTACAGGGCATGGTAGAGTCGGCGGGCGGTGGACTGGGGGTTGATGCAGCACGGTCCTATAGCTGGGGATGTTCCTGGGCTCCCCGGGCTCCCTCCTACCCGGTAAGGGACTCTGAAAGAGGTTCGAGACCCCGGCCCCTTCGGAGGGTCTTTTGCCGGTGCCGCGAGGGTTTGCACGGGATCCCCCGGAATCCCACGCGGGATCGTTCCCCGCCGGGGCGGGGCAGAGCAGGGGTCCCGTCGCCCACGTCAGTGCGGAGGCGGCTGGTGCCGGCGCCGGGGCCCGCAGAGGTGTGTCAGTTCCGCTGCAGTGGGAGGGGAGAGCAAATTGGGCCCGCCGCTCCGCCGGTCCACGGGAGCCGCGGGGTCCCCAGAGCCCTCAGGGTCTGCAGGGCTCACAGGGACACTGCCCAGCTCAGTGCTCCGAGGCCGCCCCGAACTCCATTCTCCCCTCAGGACCCTGCTATGATGAGCTCGTTGCTCCCCTTTACTCCTACTCCATCGGTGCCTCCTCCAGATACAACATCTTCTACTCGGCCAGCTTCGCCCGTCTACACAGTGAGTCCCCCTCGGAAATTAGATTCAGGAGGGGCAGGGGAGGTGGGCAGGGGGTGTCCATGGCCAGGTTTTGCCTCTCGCGGGGCTGAGGGGTCCAGTCAGGTACTGTGGTGGGGCCGAGCGAGCAGCTGGCGCTCAGTCGGGAGCCGAGCCGCTGAGCTGCTCCCCCCGCAGGCACCAGCGGCTGGTCCCCCGACCCCCGCGACAAGCAGCCCTGGCTCCAGATCGACCTGATGCAAAAGCACCGGATCAATGCAGTGGCCACGCAGGGAACCTTCAACACCTATGACTGGCTTACACGCTACATTGTGCTCTATGGAGACCACCCTACGAGCTGGAAACCCTTCTTCCAGCAGGGCAGCAACTGGGTAGGGGGGAGCCCGGCTTCCCTGTGGGAGGGGGTTCTCTGAGGGGAGTAGAAACCCCTGACCTGGAGCAAGGTGTTGACAGTGACCCTTCATCCCCAGACATTCTTTGGGAACGTGAATGAGAGCGGGGTGGTGCGGCATGATCTGCATTACCCCATCCTTGCACGATACATTCGCATCATTCCGGTGGCCTGGAACCCACGCGGGAAGATTGGACTGCGCCTGGGCCTCTATGGCTGCCCCTACCGTGAGTACCTGGCCCAGGGCTCCAGCACCCCTGCGTGGTGGGATCCTGGCTCTGGCACATCTAGAAAACTCTCTAAGAAGGGGTTGTGCCCAAACAGTCTGCAGCCATGGCAGAGACCATAGCAGAAGGGAGTATTCCCTGTGCCAGGGCACCTGCTGCTGCAGGCAATGACAAGGGTGGGGCTGCTCTGCAATCCCCAGGGTCTCATGTGCTCTACTTCGATGGGGATGATGCCATCTCCTACCGTTTCCGAGCCAAGAGGGTCAGTACCTTCGAGGATGACATCTCCTTCAACTTCAAGACACTGGAGCAGGATGGAGTGCTGATGCACGGGGAGGGCTCACAGGGTGACTACATCACAGTGGAGCTCAAACAGGCCCAGCTCCTCCTGCATATCAGCTTAGGTGAGCTGGGGCCAGGGGCTGGGGGCATGGGCCCAGGGGGCCACCGGCTGATGCTGGTCCTCCCCAGGCAGCAGCCCACTGCACGCCAGTGAGGGCCACACAACGGTGGCGGTGGGCAGCCTCCTGGATGACCAGCACTGGCACTCATTGCACATTGAGCGTCTCGGCCACTACGTCAACCTGACGCTGGACGGGGAGGTCAAGCGCTTCCGCTGCCGTGGCACCTTCGACCAGCTTGACCTCGAAACTGAGGTGGGTGCACTGGGCAGGGGGCTGCCAGGATGTTGAACTGTGGTGTCCTCCAGAGAGGGGCTGACACCCTCCCTCTGCCTCACAGGTATTCTTTGGAGGGGTGATCAACCATGACAAGCAGCACCTCACCTACCGGCAAAACTTCCGAGGTTGTGTGGAGAACATCATGTTCAACGGGGTCAACATCGCCGACCTGGCCCGGCACCGGCGGCCCAACATTCGCTTTGAGGTTCAGCCTGGGGGGTGGCCCCTTCTCTGGAAGTCCTCTCCCTGCTGTGTGGGGACCCCTTTCCTGGGTGTCCTTAGCCCCACTGTGGGGTGACCCCTTCCCTGGGGCAAGGCTCCCTGCCCACTGCGGGGTGATGCGGGGCCGTGCTCAGCCAAGCGGTGCCGGATTGACCGTGCAAGGTTGTCCCTGGCCTGGGGCGCCCGCCTGGCTCTGTCAGGCACTGGGATCAATTGGGCATGATTGAGGCCAGGACTGCGGGGATGAGAGGGCCTCCCCTCTATGGGAACATTCCCTTCCTCACCCCTCTCGTGATCATTTCTAGGGCAATGTGGGCCACTACTGCCGGGACCAGCTGATGACCCCCATCACCTTTGCTGGCATCAACAACTACGTGCAGGTGCCAGGGATCCCACGGAGAAACCGCCTGGCTGTCAGCTTCCGCTTCCGCTCCTGGGACACTGTTGGCCTCCTGCTCTACACTGGCTTTGATGACCACCTGGGCTCCCTAGAGATGGTGCTGAGCGAGGGGCAGGTCAATGTCTCCATCGCCCAGCCCGGCAAGAAGAAGCTGGAGTTTGCTGCAGGTGAGCTGGAGAGCCAGCACGGGGCTGGGGGGTCAGTCTGGTAGTGGAGCATCCCCACACATCTTCCTCTCTGCACAGGGCATCGCCTGAATGATGGCTTCTGGCATTCCGTGCACCTGGTGGCACGGGAGGGCTCAGCTGTGGTGACCATTGACGATGATGATGGTGCCGAGTTTCGGGTGGCGCACCCCTTCCAGCTACGCACTGGCAGCCAGTACTTCTTTGGAGGTGGGCAGCAGGGCAGGGTCCGGGGCAATGGGTGCCTGAGGGCTGCTCACCCTGATCTGTCTTGCAGGCTGCCCCAAGCCAGCCTCAGTCACTGGCTGCCGGTCAAACCAGACAGCTTTCCACGGCTGCCTGCAGATGCTGAATGTAGACATGCAGCCCGTGGACGTGGAGCTGCTGGCACAGCAACGGCAGGCACAGTACTACAATGTGTTCTTCAATGTCTGTGGAATCACAGACAGGTATTGACCGGGACAAGGGTGCTGCCTGGCAGTGGGGGGCATTGAGGGGCTGTGCTGGTGCTGGGACAGGAACCCTCTGTGCCCTCAGGTGCACCCCCAACCTGTGTGAGCATGACAGCCGCTGTATCCAGTCCTGGGATGACTTCATGTGCATCTGTGACCTGACAGGGTACAAGGGGGAGACCTGCCACAAATGTGAGCCTGGAGCCTCATGGGTCAGGGACAGTAGGGGTATCTGCAGCCCCTACTCCTGCCTGGTGCCTCCCTTGCACTGACCTCCACCCCATTCTTCTCTTCCAGCCCTTTACAAGGAAACATGTGATGCTTACCGGGTCAGTGGGAAGACCTCGGGCAATTACACCATAGATCCAGATGGCAGTGGGCCGCTCAAGCCCTTCACGGTGTACTGTGACATCCGAGGTGGGGATTGCAGGAGGGCAGAGGGCATCTCTGTCTGGTGCCCCTGGGAGCCACTCCTTGCCTGTGTATTGGAGCTGGAACAGGATAGAGGGAGCAGGAGTATCCTAGGGGTCAAGTCCTAAAGCTCCCTTTTCACTGCAGAGGACCGAGCATGGACCATCATCCGGCACAACCGTCACTACGGTACGCGGGTGACGGGCTCCAGTGTGGACCAGCCCTACCTGGGGGCCGTGGAGTACTGGAACGCCTCCTGGGCCGAGGTCTCAGCCCTGGCCAATGCCTCCGAGTACTGCGAGCAGCGCATTGAGCTCCACTGCTACAACTCCCGCCTGCTCAACACCCCCTGTGAGTGCTGCGAGAAGGGGGGCGGTGCTGCATGGCTGTGCTGCAGGGCCGTGACATGGGACCGTGTCCTGACCCTCCTCTGTGCCTGCAGCCGGGCTGCCCTTCAGCTTCTGGATGGGTCGGAACGATGAGCGGCACTACTACTGGGGGGGCTCGCGACCAGGCATCCAGCGCTGTGCCTGCGGGCTGGACAAGAACTGTGCTGACCCCCAGTACTTCTGCAACTGCGATGCCGACCACGCAATTTGGTGAGTGATGGTGGCTGTGGAACAGGAGATGTGGGGTGGGGGCTGCAGTCATGGTGGGCACAGACTCTGGTGGGGGTAGCAGGGCTGTGGGCTGGCGAAGGGACAGAAACACCTCATGGCCCTTCTGATGCACTCACATTTGCAGGAGGACAGATAAGGGTCTGCTGACCTTTGTGGACCACCTGCCCGTCACCCAGGTTGTAGTTGGAGACACTAACCGCACTGGCTCTGAAGCCCAGTTCGTGCTGGGGCCCCTACGGTGCTATGGAGACCGTAAGTGACCGGCCCCACAGAACATCCCCTGCCTGCAGAGTGCCTACACCTGCCTGTGGTGTCATCCCTCACTGCCTCTCCCATGCCCTGCAGGTAACACCTGGAACACCGTCTCCTTCAACAGGGGCGCAGCCCTCATCTTCCCCACCTTCCAGGCCAACCACAGCCTTGACATCTCCTTCTACTTCAAGACCACTGCCCAGTCTGGAGTCTTCCTGGAGAATCCAGGCTACCGAAACTACATCCGCATTGAGCTCAACAGTACGGGGGGGCAGAGGGTGCAGGGCTGCTGGGGGCAGAAGGGCTGGGGCCTCTTCTCAGCATCATGTCCTTGCAGCTACTAGGGACGTGGCATTTATATTTGACATTGGGAATGGGGACGAGAACCTGACGGTGCGGTCGGTGGTACCCTGGAACGACGATGAGTGGCACCAGGTGAAAGCTGAGCTCAACGTCAAGCTGGCGCGGCTGCGGGTGGACAAGCTGCCCTGGGTAGTGCGGCCGTTCCCCCCACAGAGCTTCGTCCGCCTGGAATTTGACAGGCCCCTCTACGTAGGTGAGAGCCTCTGGCCACGCCCCTGCACCCCCAGGTCCCCAAGTGCCACAGGGCACTCAGTCTTGGCCCCGCTGCAGGCGCAGCAGAGCACAAGATGCGCCCGTTCCTGGGGTGCCTGCGGGCACTGCGGATGAACGGGGTGACGCTCAACCTGGAGGGCAAAGCCAACGAGACCGAGGGTGTGCGGGTCAACTGCACCGGCTACTGCCAGGACCCGCCGGTGCCCTGCCAGAACAGTGGGCTCTGCGTCGAGCGCTACAGCCACTACACCTGCAACTGCAGCATCTCTGCCTTCACCGGTCCCTTCTGCAATCACGGTGAGTGCTGTGTTCCCAGGGGTGGGAGGGGCCGAGGAGCTGGGGCTCCCCTCACCCTCAGCTCTCCTACAGACATCGGTGGGTACTTCGAGGAGGGCACCTGGGTGCGGTACAACATCCTGCCCATGTCGCTGTACGCCGCCCGCGAGTTCGCCAGCATTGTGAGCAGTCCCTGGCAGCCCCTGCCTGGCTACAACCTCACCAGCGAGGAGGTCAGCTTCAGCTTCAGCACCACCTCAGCACCTGCCGTGCTGCTTTACGTCAGCACCTTCGTCAAGGACTACATGGCCGTGCTTATCAAGGATGACGGTGAGGGCAGGGCCCCCTGCCCTGGGGTTCACCCAGAGCCTGCATGGGGACCCCTGTCTGGTGCTGGGGATGCACAGGCTGCTCCTCTCTGTGGATGCCATTTTCCAGCCCTATAGATGGGCTGGAGGTGCCCATTGAGAGGTCCAGCTCTGCTGACAGTCCTGTGCTGCCCGCAGGGAGCCTACAGCTGCGCTACCAGCTGGGCACCAGCCCCTACGTCTTCACTCTCACCAACAAGCCAGTGACGGACGGGCGGCCCCACCGTGTCAACATCACCCGCCTGCACCGCACACTGTACACCCAGGTTGGGCTGGGCCACCTTCCCAGTGGGGCCTGGGGGCTTCAAGTCAGGCTGGGAGGGGGCTTGGGTGGGATGGCTCTGTGGGCACTGATGCTGTTCACCTACCTCCCAGGTGGACTATCTCCCCATCGTGGAGCAGCAGTTTTCCCTGTTTGTGGACAGCAAGCTGGACTCACCTAAAAACCTGTACTTGGGCCGTGTGATGGGTGAGCTGGGTCCTGCCCTCAGCTGGGGTCCCATGCTGGGGTCTCCAGGGTCTCCTCTGCACAGAATGGCCCTTGCCCTCTGAGAGGGATGAGTAATCTCCTTCTGTGGCCCCACAGAGACTGGCGTGATTGACCCCGAGATCCAGCGCTACAACACACCTGGCTTCTCAGGCTGCCTCTCAGGGGTGAAATTCAACACCCTCGTGCCCCTTAAAGCTATCTTCCACCCCACCAGCCCCCTGCGGCCCTACAGCATCCGGGGTGAATTGGTGGAGTCGAGCTGTGCCTCAATGCTCCCCCTCAGCACCCTCCTTATCCCTCCTGAGATGGACCCCTGGTACATGGCCACAGGTGAGTGCCTACTGTGGTGGGACCCTGGTGGGGATGGAGCCCTTGTCAAGCACCAGCTGCAGAAGGGAAGCTCCAGCACGAGATCTTGCTGCAGCCTGGTCTCAGCTGCCTACTCTGTCTCTGCAGAATTCCCCCACGTGCACGACGACGGCTGGGTTGGGATCATCATTGGGTGTAAGTGAAGCCTCTGGCTGGTATTCCACCCTGGCACAGCCCTGCGGCCCCTCCCCAATCCCTCACTGCGGTCTCTTCTCCGCAGTCGTGATCTTCCTGCTCCTGCTGCTGTCAGGGCTGCTGGTGCTGCTCTACTTCTACCACCACCGCTACAAGGGCTCTTACCACACCAACGAACCCAAGGCCATCCAGGATTATGGCGGTGCTACCAAACCGTCGGCACGCAAGGAACAGAACCTGCCCCAGATCCTGGAGGAGCCGAGAGGGGACTAGCGTGGCCGGGATGGGCTCACAGCCCCGGGAGCCGCCCGAGAATGAGCGAGCGTTGCGGGACCAAAAGGCCGAGCACACCTGAACTGCCAACACCCGCCTTTAGACTGACCTGACCGGACCGCACCGACCGCCACCTCCTCCCCACGGCCGGACCGACCGGCCCCCGGAGTGCGGCCACGATCCGCCGAGCCGCAGCCTCGCTCGCCCCGGGCACGCCGACAGCCCCCACGGCGGAGGCAGGCTGCTGCCTCTACCGCTGCCAAATCCTGCCTGGCCTCTGTCGGGGAGCCCCAGGCCCGGCTCCCACCCTCCCTCTGCTCGGGGGATCCCGGCTGCCGCCGCCCGTTAGTGCTGCCCGCGTAGATGACCCGCTGCTTTGCTCGCTTCGCCAGCGCCACGCAGAGCCACGAGCACCGGCCCCGCACAGCCGGGCTGCCAAGCAATACTCCACACTGGCGCCGCGCATGCCGCCACTGCACCTTGCTGAGATGCTGCTTTCATAAGATCAGGTACAGATCCTTTCTACCATTTTTGTTGCTGGATATTCTACTACACTCTGGTTTTTTTATTCTATCGGTTTGTATAAAAAAAAAACCAAACGGAAGCTCCCGCGGGCGTGACGTCCCGCGTGTCGTGGTACGTGGTCTGTAGTTTGCTACTTCTCTGTACGAAGTGCCAGTCCTGCTGATTACCTCCAGCCCAGGGAAAGCTCCTGTTCACTTGCTGTGTTGTGGTAAGACAATGTTACAGATATGCATTTATCTACCCAAAGGCCTGGCTCCACTGGGCACTTTATTTTTAAAAAGTCTGTTCTTTTGAATGAGATGTGAAGATAATCAAATAAAGGCAGAATGATGGCGTTTGACACTCCCCAGCCTTCCCCTTGGCAGCCTGGGCAGATCCTCTTCTCCCACCCTGGCTCAGCCTGTACCAAGGAAGGCACTGCATTGACAACAGCAATTCCTGGTGCCAGAGCGAAATGCAGGGTGTAGTGAGCTGGGGCTAGAAGCAGCTCAGCTGCTGCTACACGCACACATCATGTCCTGCTTTCCCCACCACACACCTCTGCCCCCTTCCCACCCTGAGCCACTGTGATTCAGGCAGTGTAGCACCGGGTCACTCGTGATTCCCCCTGGACCCTGGGAGCCACGTTGAGGACAGCTGGGCTGAGCCCAGCAGGCAGGGGACAGTCTGGGGACAGAGGCCAGCAAACAGGGGAGGGTCTTTGCTACCACTTTATTATGACAAAGGCTACAAGCCATGTTATTTAAAGTGCATTATTATTACCATTATTCACCGTCAACAAACCACAGACACAAGCCTGGCATAGTGCAGATATGGCCAAAGTGGCAGAAGACGCTTAGGCAAGAGCAGGGCTGGCAGGAGCTGGGCAGATGGAGGTGGCAGGGAGCAAGGCTCAGGCAGGTGCTGGGATACAAGAACTGCTCCAGACAGAACCTAAACACCTTCAGGCTCCAGGGGGCCATCACAGAAAATGGGAAGGACAGACAAAACAGCCTGGCCTGCCATGGCAGGAGATTTAGAAAGAATGATGAGGGCTGGGCCAGGGAGGGCTTGGCTCCCAGGCAAACCCAGCACCTCTCTGTGGTCCTGGACAAAACAGCTGGGAGTGACCTGGGGCCCTGGAGCCAGGTCAGGGCTTAGCCAGGCTTCCCATGTCATCCTGAGAACCCAGCCCTGGACATTGGGAGCACAGCCCAACACCCAGCACCAGGCCAGGCAGGAGGCTGGTGGCATGTATGGCTCTCAGGGACAGCCCCAACCTTCAGGTCACCCCAGGCCCCATCCAGCCTGCCCTCTCCCAGGCCTGGAGCAATATCCCTGCAAAGCTGCTGATGGATGCAAGACACCTGGGATGCCTGCAGTCCCTCCACCCCAAAATATAGGGCCCAGTTACCAGCTGAGGATTAGTTTAAAGTGCTTTTTTCTTTCCTTTTTGCATGGGGTGCCAAGGCTAAACCTCATCCTGCCAGAGAATATTTCCTTTTTATTCCCAGGGCCAGGGGGGTTACAAAGCCCAAGGAAGGTTTTTGAGAAGTTTCCCCTGGGTCATAACAGGCAGTGACTATAACATTGTCCTCTACCTAGCTCAGTGGCACCCCTACTCAAAGTATCATGTTGCATAGTGCTGCTCTCCCATCCCCAGGCATCCCTTGGTGCCACTGCAGCCACAGCCGGGCAGTCCCCATTTCCCAGCCAGCTGGGGCAGAGGGGATACCACGCTGGGACAGCCATGGCCCAGGGGCTGCTTACACTCCTGCCCCAAATCTCTCTGGTGTCTGGATGGAAAGTAGCACTTGTGACACACACAGCAGCAGGAACAGCAGCAGTCATGTCAGCGTGAAGCGAACATGGCATTGCTTACAAGGTGCAGCAGCAAGGTGTGCTAGAACCACCCCGGAGCTTAGATGATGTCTGTCTCCCTCTCTATGCCGACATACTTCAGGGCATCTGCCTGGCTGTACCTACAGGACAGGAAGTCATGGCTGCAGAAATGACCTCCCATGCTCCTCACAAACCTGCACAGAGCATGGGGTCAACCCTGCAGCCCAAGGTCCCCACTGGCCAAGGTACCTGTAGTCAAAGAAGAGCTCCTCTCCTGCCTGGATGGCTCTCTTGGCAAAGATACCAATCCGGTGGTCTCCATTCACCATCACAACTGCAACCAGAGATAAAACACCAGACATACAACATCAGAGACACAACACCAGAGACACAACACCAGAGATGTGCAGCCCCAGCTTGGGCCAGAGCTCTCGCAGCATCATGTCCTGCCTGGCCTGGCTGGGCAGGGGCACCTCACCTTTCGCATAGCAGTTGGGGTTCACTGAGTGGTTGGCAAAGCGGATTTTATTTCCTTTGCGAGTAGCGTCAACAACAAAATCTATTTAAAACAAAAAAAAACCAAACAAAAAAACAAAACAAAAAAAAAACCAAAACAAAAAACAAAAACAAAAACAAAAACAAAACAAAAACAAAAACAAAAACAAAACAAAAAAAAAAAAAAACAAAAAAAAAGAAAGAGAAGGAAATCATGGTGTAAGGTCAGGCCTGTCACCCAGGTAAGAGGTGGGCTGAGCCTGCCCTGCCCACCTGGCCAGCAGTCCTGGCCTCTCCACCCCTGGCAACCTCAGGAAGTTACCATTGTTGAGGTTGAAGAGGAAGCTGGACATGTACTTGTCGTAGACCTTTCCTCGCCTGTCAGCTTCATCCTGTGAAATGAGCTGTAGAGGGAGATCACCTTGAGAAATTCAGAAGCTGAGGGTTGGGCCAGGTGCCCACCTGCCTCTTGGAAACACCCTCCTGTTCTCCCTCCCAGCTCATGGGCAGGAGCTTGCCAGGGCTCCCAGGGGCAGGGCCAAAGCAGGGCTCTCAGGCAGCAGCACACACACATGCTCCATCCTCCACAGCGGAGGACCAGAGGTACCTGAGAGGTGTCCCCAGACAGCACAAGGCTCCCTCTCCAGACCTGGTCGGAGTGAGCCCATGGGCACAGCCAAGCCAGGGAAGGAAGTTGACCCCACAGCCAAAGGAAGCTCTCCCACCACACACACAGCCCTTGTGTGCCTGGGCAGCAGCCCCAGCACAGGCAGCAGCACTGACCTCCCCGCAGTACTCGGAGATGAACTCGTTCTTCTGCACAGCCTCCTTGATGAAAGTCCCCCAGCCAGCCACATCTGATGGGGCCAGCAACAAATGCTGGAACGAAAATAAAACGACAAAGTTAGCAGTTACAGCATCTCATAGCACACAGATCATGGGGGCAGAGGGGAGCCAGTGTCCATCCAGCATCCCCTTGTTATGGTGACACACAGCTCCCTACAGACTTACACTATTACATGGAGCTACACAGGATCTGACAAACACTAATTTGCAACTTTCTCTGAATTTCCCTTTTTTTAAATGCACAATTCCTTGCTCTCACCAACAGAATTCAACACTAAATCTTTCTCGAGTCACTTTATACACTCCTTTGCTCTCACCATTCCTCACGTAACTCCCATCTCCTGATTTTCACATCCACAATCCCTACTCTAGAGTAAGTGCTACAGAGACCAAGGCAGAGCAGCTTCTTTTCCAGACTCTGGCACTCTGGCAGCTGCCAGAAGTTTTTCCCCCCCCACACACAGCAGCAGCAGCAGCTGTGTGTCAGCCCTGCCCTGAGGCAGCCCCTTCCACACTGCTGTTGATACCTTTTTGAGGCCTCTCTGGATGCTGCAGTTCTTGCAGGAGACCACCTTGCAGTCCCAGTGCTCGGAAGCGCCGCAGGTGAGGCAGAGGTCTGGGTCACACTCCCGCACAGCCAGGTAGCAGGGACACTGCTTGGTGTTGCACTGGGTCTTACAGCGGCAGCCTGGGAAGCGGTTCTGACCTGCAGCAACACAGACCATGGGTTTGCACTCTGAGGTTTGGCACAGAACAGAGGGGCCACACAGGGTCTCTGTCCCAACTGCTTCTCCCCAGCCACATCTTGCCCTGGCAGGCCTTGGGCAGGGACAGGATAAAGTCTGGCTGTTTTCTCCATTGCAGAGCTGGGAATGGAAACCCAGACAGGAAAAACAAACATGGAAGAGCAGTGACCCAACGCCCATCCTAATTGCTGGAGGCACATCCTGCTCACAGGGGACCAGCAGCAGCACCCACAGATATAGACATAAGAACGAGCACTAACAGGGGTGTCTCTCAGCTGTCAACAGCTGCATGGCAGCACAGAACCATTTCTTTTTGGATTTTAGCAGGCTGCTAACAGAACTGCTATGGACGGACAGAGCAACAAGTGCAGGAATAAAGCAGACCCCCAGCGAGCCCCAGCTCTGCACCCTCCCCATGCTCTGTGCCAGAGCTGGCTGCTTTCCTGCCCGATAGTCCTTGACCTCTTCTTACAGTCAGGGTTGCACTGGCAGAACTTCTCACAGAAATTCTGAGTCATGATGCAAGGGCAAGAGCTGTCACAGGGATGCTCAGGGTGGTCACAGGGCTGGTAGTTGTACACCTGGGTTGGTGAATTATCTAGAACAAGAAGAGAAATGCCAAGATTGCAAGATGCATGTTGCAGGAACCTTTTCAAAGCAGCAAGTGCAGGGCACTGGAGCG